TTCCTTCCCTCGCGACATCCTCTCCCGCCTCGACCAGCTCCGCTCCTCAGCCTCCACAACAACTCCCTCTCTGACGTCATATGCCCTCCGACGTCACACTGACGTCAGATAGGCCGGTCCCAAGGTCTGTCGATTTTAGGCCGGCCTGTGGACTGGCTTGGGCTGGGTGCCAGTCGATTTCACAGGCTGGAGTGAATTGACAGGGTGCCAGCCTGGTTTTTTGACTAGGTGCTGGGCTCTCTTCTTCCCGGTGGAATTGCTCTCAGGTAAGCAGAACGCCCTTCCTTGATACGCATCCACATAAACTTGTTAGAACCGAACTTGTTGCGAGCCGATTTCTAACTGCCACCTCGTTGATTTGTATAAAAGAGCAGGAAAAAAAGAAACAGGAGCCCCAGAGAGAGGTTACTGGAAGAGTGAAGCACCACCCATTTTTACAATTGTGCATATAAAATATAATTTACACAAATATTTACATTGCAAGCAGAGTAGCAACTGCAGATTTATATACACACACACACACACACACACACATATCATCAGTCTTCTAATTACACAGATTATTTTTGTTTTTGGCCTAACCAGATTCGGACCATCCATATTCGCTGGCGCTAGGTACATTTGGCCTCGTTTCAGACTTCATTTCTTGACCGGATAGGAATAGCAAACGTACCACGGCCACATGACACCGGTAAACTACCTAGCGCCTGCAGTAGGAACGCTTTCTTTGAAAAGAATATTCGCAACTGGTGGAGGAATCCAACCTGCACCGCCACCACTCTGACCATCTTGGTTATTCCCATCCTTCCTTGTTGATCTTCGACCCTTCAGCTTTGCACCTACATTGTGTCCAACAAATAAGCTCACCTTCATGGCTGTAAATAGGCCAAACGCAATTGCAAGAGGCCTCACTGCCCAGTGAAAATCCTCGATGTGTTGATATTTTCCAACCACTCCAGGACATGTATCAAAGGACACTAGTTCAACTTCAGCTGGATCTGCCAAGAAGCTATTAGATTCATCTCCAAGTACAAATCTTCCGGGAAACCTCACAACCAGACAGCCATTCGAAAGGACTTGTGAGATCCTTCCAGACGCCCATGCTCCTCCATTCTTACGAGGCCACTCAAATCTAGGAGAGAACACACTAGCCTTCAGCCTCACAAAGTCTCCAACAAAATATGAATCTGTCATTTGAAGGTCAGATGACTTTCCTCTCCACAGAGTCTCTAACCCAATAAATCCAACTGCAACACTACCATCACGCTGTATCGAATGAAGAACTCCAACAGGAGAGTGCTTCCTGCCTTCACCCTTCAAGCGCACCCAATCACCCACTGCTAAGCCAGATGTGACTCTCTCCACTGTTGACACCAGCACTCTTACAGGGTTGCGCACTCCGGGGATCTTCACCAGGGCAAAACCTTCTCTATTGGAATCAGTCTCCAGACCAGCAACAGTTCCTTCAGGGACATCCATAGCTTGAGGCTTGCGTGCATTTAGGGGCTTTCTTGAGCGAACTATATCTCCAACCTGAAGATGATCTTTTGAGAGATACCATGTAGTATAACCACCGCTATTATGTTTTCCAGCAACTGTACTGCTCCCTAAACCAAGCCACTCGCCTTCACTTTGAACATCATTCTGTGAGCTGCACGTTCAATTACAAATAATCAGCACAGAACAATATTTTGTTCAACAAAAAAAAAAAAGCATAGGACGATAAAAGAGAAGGCAGGATGATCAAATGCTGAATTCTCATTTTGGGTACAGAAGAGGCCAACAAGGAATCAAAGGTAAAATCTGATTAAGCACCACCTTGAACCAGAAACAGTAAATAATAGGGCATGAAAAAGAAGTCTGTAATGCAATAGCTCCTTAGGGTTCTGTTCATTAAAAATGGAGTGTGTAACAAAAATAAAATGCAACGATGGGTTCCGCAGAAATCTGAAGCAGCAGTAACTCCTTGACAGAACAAAAGAATCTAACTGGTATCAATGTGTTCCCTGATAGCTCACTGGTAAAAGTAGCAGTAAACTCCATGGATGAAGCTCAAGACTAGGGAAAATTTCAGGGCTGGAGTTATAAGATGTGCAAGAAGACTGTAGGTTTTGGCATGGCTACAAGGCTGGAAACTTAGGCTGTGCACAGTCGACTACACAGGGAAAGTAGTTTTTGTGTCTCCAGGTTGTTAAGTTGATGAGAAAAGGTTTGTAAAGTGAGATCATTAGATAAGGAGAGTGGATACCTTTCAAAAGCATGTATTATATCATCCATTGAAGGCCGATTGCGGAAGTCATACTCAAAGCAACCACTTAGAACATTCTCAACTGCAGGAGGCAAGCCGCTTGGAACAGGTGGTTTTTCTTGCTTTATCACAACTGAATGATATATCTCTTCAATTGACCTCCCAAACCATGGTTGAACACCAGTCAAAATCTCCACAAAGCAACATCCAAAACCCCAGGCATCCGTTTCTAAGGATACAGGGCCCCTCACTTCTGGTTCCCACTGTTCGGGAGCCATGTAGTTTGGGGTTCCAAGTCTGAGAGCCATATCTGAATTAGACAATGAAATCCCAAGAAGTAGATACGGAATCCCAAAATCTCCAAGGACCGCCTGGTCATGTTCATCTAAAAGGAAGTTGGAAGGTTTCAGGTTTAGCACCAGAATCCCAAGCGAGTGCAAGTCTAAAATTCCTTTCGCCAACTCAATCCCATACCTGTAAACATTAGCATTATTGGGTCAGTAACAACACTTTTATGCATCATGAAGGAAGATATATGTTCCCGATAACATAACCTTAAAACATCAGAAAGTTGAAGCTTTCCGCCCTTCATCCGAGCAACTCGATCACCAATTGATCCCTCATAAAATTTCATAGCAATGCAGACCTACCACGGCATTAGAATGAGCACTCATCAAGATATATCCATACTAGAGTTATGCGAGGCAAATAAACAGGATAATCAACACAAACGAATATTTTCAAAATAAACAAAACAAATAATCCAAAATTATTTTCCAGGCAGTCACCTTCCCATCAATAACTGAGATGCCGTGAAGCCAACAAAGGCCATAGACTCTGCGGAACTTGAAAAATAACCTTTCAACCTTATGCACAAACTTCTCAGTGTCTTCCTCCTTCAAAGGGTGCAGCATCTTAACAGCTACCTCATGATACTCATCATAATCATCTGCAGACTGATGATGAGTTGCTAACCAAACATCACCAAAGGGGCCTCGCCCAATTCGGTATTTGAAGTTCAACGAATCAGGGCTGATCCATGGACTAGTAGGAGTAAGTGTTGGCGTGAGTGTAGCCACTACAGTTCTTAGGTGGTCCGGATCTCCCTCAAAGAGCTCATACTCAAAAGACACTGCTGGCTTTGCTTTTCCCATTTGCTCATCCATTTTCCCTGCTATAAATATATATCTCAAAAAACAAGCTCAAGTCAATAATTCGCGCATCCCTAATACGTCTATATCGAAGTACATAGTCAAGGCCCTAACTACAGAAAGAGAAAGTAACAATAACGAGTTGGGAATTTTCACAAGGGCTTTTGGCAGTAGCAAGAATCGATATTCCTTTAACATAATTCGTGATTCCTGCGAAGCCTTTAATCGGAACTTCATAATCCCTAGGTCAAAAATCAATTGGAGACAACTGAACAAAAAGTTACTACAACAGGCACGATCATACGAGCTAGACAAATGGACAGGTAATTAGATGATGCAATGAACTAGCTCTACGTCTAGCGGTACTTCTCTTTCCAATATTGGAATGGAAGGGATCCCAAGTTCGAATCCCCTCCCGTTGATACAAATTTGCCGATCAAGGGGTTAGAATTAACCCCAATACACATCATAGGTCATAATTTCGGCAGTTTAAAGCTTTCAACCAACTTACTTCCTATATCAAATTAATCACAATTATCATGAAAAAATCAAATGAAATTCGCTAATTATCCACAATTCAAGTGGGATTGCAACGAATTAGATTCAAAACTCATCCAAAATTCATATCACTCGGTTCTGATACAAATACAAAACAGTAAATCTTTACAGCTATGCATCCACACAACACATCAAAAATGGAAATATATATTAAAAAATCACCTGGATTAACCACGATTATTGTATAAAGTATAAATACTGTTTTCATATGTCTTCTGTTGTTTAATTCAACAAAGCTAGTGAGAGTAAAAGCAAACAAACAGTTTATTTTCCTTCTTATTTTCCCAAATTTTCTCGGCAACCAAACACGTACAAAAAAACACAAAACTTACTGGTTGCAGAGAGAGACTCCGTGACGTCCCGCAACGAAACTCGAAAAACCAGCAATTTTTTTCTTCTTTTTTTATAAAATAATGTGCAATCGGTTGAAGATGGATGCAGCAGAAGAAAACAAAATTGGAATCGCTACGAGAGTGGATACGGTATCTTCGGTGCGGCCTGCCTAATCTTTTGCCACGTCATCGAAATTTCAGAAGTGAAAGCTGTCTATGGAGACACGTGGCTTGAAAGCAGCGTGCCTCGCGTTAGAATCTGGATCAATTATCCAAATTCGTGGACCACCCGATAGGTTGAAGAAGATTTTAATTGTCGGGCTCACAAATTTTGGTGACTAGTTTCGGATCGTTGAGAGTCTCACATCGCTCGGAAATTGACGTTTTATTTTTAGTAAGGAAATGATTTAGGGTTGATAACTACTTTTAAATGATTGAAAAAGTTTTTAGAGATTTTTTTTTGGATTTCAAAAGCATTATAAGTGCTTCTTGCTAGAAGCATTTCAAGTGCAGAATTAACTTGTATTTTTACTATAGTTTGGTTCCAAAAATATTTTATCTAAAAGATCTTTCAGTCGTTTAAAAACACTTGTCAAACGAGTTCATATAATATAACCTGTATCAATTCATCGATGATAAGTACAAAATTATGTGCATCGATCATGAAGAAATTCAAGTATGAATTCTTACTCATAATTGAGTAGCCAAAAGTTTGGTTCGAGCACATCCCCTTTTTGTGGTGAGTGTTTAATCTGTCAAATATCTTATTTACGTGTTTTGTTCGAGTAGCGCCCGTGTGAAAGGGCGTGTTGAGAGACTACAAGGGAGGAGTCAAAATATATCGAGATAACCCAACTACCATTTACAATAAACTTAGTGCTGAACTTGTAGAACATCTTTAGGCCTTAGCATGCAACAGCTTCCCAACACACAAAATGTGAGGTCAATAAGTCATTCTACATCAGCTTCCTAAGGAAAGTAGGCTGAATTTCGATGGACGATTCCTGCCTTCGGATCCCTTTTTTGAATCCCCCGACGACCTTCGAGTATGAGAGCCACCCTTTCAAGAAGTGAACTGCCTTGAATTCAGGCACCGGACCTGCCTCCAGATCTTCTACATTGGGATAGTAATTGGAGTTGTCCTCCTGTATTGCTGCATTGCTGCCATTAACCTCCACTCCACAATTTTCTTCGTCTTTGTGCACGAATTCAGGCACATGACCTGCCTCCAGATCTTCTTCATTGGGATAGTAACTTGGCCCGTATGTCAACCTGAAGTCAATATCCATGCTTAAGTTCCCTATCTCAGTTAAATATGCATGAATCAACTAGAAAGAAATGGAAAGTACGAGAACTATATGCCGAATGCTCTTCCTATTTTAGTTTCACCGTTTCCCTCAGAAGCTTCCAACTTTAGGTAAACAGTAAATAACCCATAAGGCACAGGTAAATAGGCTTACTGCAGTGCAGCTTTGAGCCTGAGTTCTTACCAAATTAAATCGCAAGGAAAAGTATGAATGATTCTTACATAGGTTGCTGTTTGTATGGAACACTCTCATTCTTCGACCCTTTTTTCAAGGGTGAGTTGCTGATGGACATATGCCTAATGAATTCAAGCTGCATGCGCCAGAAATAAACATCAGGAATTTGCCAGCAATAACATGACAGAATGACCTAAAAAATACAAATATATGCACTCATGGAGCTTCTATATCAGCTGTCAGGAAAAGCAAGAAACACAGCAACGGCACAGTCTAATACTTGAATACGAAAGCCCCACTTATACAAAAATTGCCTATATTCTTACAAGAGATTTCAGATAACCAAACTGAGCAAGGCAACAACAGAAATCCTAATCACTTCCAGAAATACAATATGGCGAAGACTAATGATGAAACTAAAAAAGATTAGCCTGATTGAAGGCTGTTTAGAAATTCTAATGAGGATGAGGGAGACGAGACGACAACTTGGGAGTTCACTAAACATAAATGAAGTCAGTTGGCTAAGGTCAAATAATTTCACTAAAGCGTGATAATAAGTTAACAAATTTGGACAGTATGCACAAAAATAGCAACACTAAACATTTCTCTTCATTCAATGCGAGCATAAACAGATGAAATATAAAAGAGCTGAACTGTAAACCAAACATACAACATGTATGCTACGGGCTTTTCACCTAATGCCGCCACATAAAATTAACTCCCATGCCTGCTTAAATCATTATAATTCATTTAGAAGCATAAATACAAATTAATCTCTTGTATAGCACGTCAACATGCATCCCAATCCCACTTAAGGGTTCTTTTATTTCATATTATGCATAACTAAAGTTCTACAGAAAAACCAAGTTAAAGATGGAATGGTATACAAGTCGCTCATTATATGTGTTCCAACTTAATTCTACCGTATATGTTCAGATAAATATGTTAGACACAACTGTTTCTCGCAACGTTGAGAGTTGGGCTTCGGAGATTAAACAAAAGGGAGCTGCCATACTAACCATTTCGATGAGTGATAAGTTTTTCTAAAATCAAAGCACAGTAAAAACAGAGATACTACAAATTTGATACTTGAAGGGAAAAGAGACACATACTTGATCACCATCCTTAATTCCAAAATTCCGAATGTACGCCCTGTCGTTAATCAACTTCTGACCAACATGACACAAGCAGAAATGCCCCCAAACCAGTGACCTGAGAGCAGAAATTCAAACAAACTTAAAACACAAGTTTTTCATTTATGTCAATTTTGCAAGGCAAAGGGATTTACCATGAAATCTTGTCTTGGGAGGGACCAAAGAAATCTTCTACTGCTTGTTTGAGCTCTGCTATTGTGGCAGTCCTCCCAACCTGAATTTCTGCACAATTCAAATTCACTACTGAAATTTACATGGGACCCCAATAATTTTGATAAAATTAAATTTTACAGAAAAAGAAAAATTTAGGAAAAAAGCCATTTAGGGTAGTAATTTTAGCATATGATCAGATTCTAAAAAGCAGCACCACTATAACCAAACTAGCTTTCCAAAAAAGCAGATTTTTTATAATTTCATATAAAGGCATTTTCTAACCAGGATAGCTTTTCCAAAAGCACAATTATTCACCAATTCGAAAAGCAGAACCTAAAGAGAAAGTCAAAACGAAAAATGGAGGTAATTTGAAGTGAATTAATCACCGAAAACAGAGCCGTCGAGCTTGAGAACGGAGAGCTTGAGGAGCGGAAGCTGAGCGAGCTTCTTGTACGAGCTGTGGCGGGAGGAAATCCGCGCGCCGTTCTCGCGAAGGTCGTCGTTTCGCTTGAGCGGTGCCAAACACCGCCTCTCGATCAGATTCAAAACCCTCATCGTTGTACTAGTACCAGTGCCACCACTACCATTTTTCCTTCGCATCATTACAACTATATATACATATATATATATATGATCATATACTTTAAATTTGAGCTCACAGCTGCCGTTTGCAAAGTTTAAAAGCCTGATCAGAACAAAAATTCAAAACAAATTCAAAAAAATTATGGAAAATTCGGAATCGATCACAGTAGAAAGGTGAGATTCAAATCGTGCTGTCAGCTACAGAAATTGAATGCACTGTGGTTGATGGTTTGTTAGGGTTTAGAGTGAAGAGTGAGAGTTGCAGAGAAGAATGAGGAAGACGGAGAGACCGTTATGGGATTTGGGGGAGAGGGATTGGTTTCGGGTGTGGCATGGCAGCGCGTGTCTTTTGAGAAAGTGTGTGGGGGTGGACTCCCAACCGACCAAAGCCAACGGTTCGATTTTCCCTCTCTTTATGGTGGATCTTCAATTTTTATTCCTTTTTCATTTTTGTTTTATTTGGGATCAGATTGTACTTTTGTTTGTTTGTTCACAACAACTTGTATTCAAACGAATTTTTTACTTTATTTTAATATCACAACATGTAAATGATAGGTTTTATAATCGAATCTTGTAGTTGGCGAATTTTGATGCCAATGTATTATGGTTGACTAAATAGAATGATTGAATCAATGTTCATGAATCATAACATATATCCAAATGAATCCTTCTATAGCATTTTATTGGCTTAGCAAGCGAGAAATAAGCGGACTCAGACCGATAATATTTCATGCATGGTAAGCTACCGCCTTTCAGTCTTCATACTTACCATAAAGGTCAACTAATGACAATAGCTCTTCCCGAACACAGCTTACAAAATGAGAGGTGATATCAAAAGGTTAAAATTAAACCACAATTAGGGTTTGGGATTCTTTCACAATTAGGGGGTGTCTTCATGAGATTTAGGTTACGGCCGATTTTCCCCATCATGTTACACCCTCAAAAACTAATCATCTTTTATCTTAAATTTTGATTTTCGAATATATACACGCATATATCTTGACTCGAAAGTTCCAACCAAATATTTTCTGGCTCCTCCCCTGAAAATTATGAAACAACAGCTCAACAACAATGCGAAAATAGTGGCAAACTCCTTAATATATCATCTAACAATAATATTGCACCGTGTTTGCCTATTTGAGAAATAATTCAAAGAAGCTGGCAAGACTCTCTGTCAGCTCAACAGAATTAGGTTTAATCATGATAAAAATTGGTTAATTAAGGGATTAGCACTGGTAATTCTCCATGCATACACATTAATTTATATGTTAAACAGAATTAACTAACTCTCTTCTCTTTCATTATCTCAACAGAAGTAACCAACTCTCTCCCTCCTACGCACAGAAACAAGAAGAAATAAAAAAAGAAAAAGGAAAATGGTTTGGATCTCTCCTGGCCTCTACAGGATTCAGATAGAGCGAAACACAGATTTCCGTTGTCGGTTTTGTCAGTTTTTATCCGAGTTTTTGCAGAGGGAAGAGATGGATTTTTGACGATTGCGATATCTGCAGCTAATTGGTTTCAGTTTTTGTTTCGTTGAAGTTTGTTGTTGGGAAGTGCTTGAGAGAGGAGAGAGGAGAGAGGAGGATGGGGATGAGAACATCGAGAAGGGAAGGTTCAGAGAAGAGAGAGGAGGCAGTGGCATTGGCAATAGACAAGGATAAAGCAAGTGAGTATGCAATCAAATGGATTGCTGATCATCTTTTTACCAAGCCTGGACAACCTCTCACTTTGCTCCATGTTCATGTTAAACAACCTTCATCTCCCCTAATTTCCACCCAAAGTAAGCACCATAAACCATCTCTCTCTCTCTCTCTCTCTCTCTCTCTCTCTCTCGTGAAAGAATGAATGATGATACGTGGTCGTTTGGAGAGTGTTTCTAAAATGACTAAAAACATTTTTGGTGAAATTAATTTTAAGTTTCAAAAGCACTTTAAGTGTTGTTTTTTAAAGAAACATCAAATGTGTGTTTTTTTGCATGAAGCACTTAAAAGTGTTTTTCCAAGATCCACTTGAATTTTTACTAGTAATTGGTTTCAAAAACATTTTCAACATCGCTTTCAATCGTTTCAAAAACACTTCCAAACAAGCACATAATTAAAGTTTTTACAAATAAAAAAATCATATGTCATGTCATTTTAAGGGTACGACTTTATGTACATTAGAACAATATCAGCAATAAATGTGCACCTTGTGAAACATTTTCTTTTCATAATACTGAAAGATATCACAAATTGGGATCTCATTCTCTAATAATTAAAAAGAAACTATATTTTAAAATTAATATGAGTCTATGACACCTATGTATTCTCCCAATGCTTTCTAGCTAAAGATAGTAAATTCCCCCATTTTATTTCTAAAATAATACAAATACATAAAAAAAATACCCATTTTCCTTTTCTTTTTTTTCCTCATATCATTTTATGTTGCAGGAGGGGAATTGACAGAGGAGAACAATTACCAAGTTGAAGATCAAGCCAAAGATTTGTTCCTCCCATTCCGTTGCTTCTGCACTAAAAAAGCTGTAAGTCCTCCATTTGGTATTTTCTCCTTTTAATTAATTGTGACCGAAAGATCACATATTCGAGTGGTAGAAACAGTCTCTCTACAAAGCAAGAAGACTTGTTGGCTTGAAGTTATTTTTTTTAATTAATTAGTTAATTCAATCATCATTTTAATCTTTTTTCAGAAAATTACTTTCTCCATATAATATGATTTGATCATTAAGTATTCTCCTTATGATATGATTTAATCATTAATTAAACGCAATTAATTCTTCATATTATTTAATTGTATTGATTTGTTGCAGATCAAAAGCAACGAAGTTATAGTGGAGGATACTGATATAGCAAAAGCACTTATCAACTATGTCGCTGCTAATTCTATTCGGGTTTTGGTGCTTGGCGCACCATCCAAAAACAGCTTTGGCTTTTTCAGGTGCTTTTTCTTCTCCTTCATTATCTTATTTCTTGTCTTCATTTCATGTTTTTGTTCTGCTATGGAATAAACATCCATTGAGATTGACATAGCTCCGTAATTTGTTCTTTGAGATTGGATAGAAGTGGTCCTTGAACTTGTTCACCTTCATTATCTTATTTCTTGTCTTCATTTCATGTTTTTGTTCTGATATGGAATGAACATCCATTAAGATTGACATAACTCTGCAATTTGTTCTTTGAGATTTGATAGAAATGGTCCTTGAATTTGTTCACCGTTAATCATTTTGATTATTCTGTGAAAATCTCCATTAAATAAGACCAAAATTTGTTACTTTGCTCATTGTTTAATAACGATTTTTCACGGAATGATCAAAATGATTGATGGTGGACAAATTCAGAACAGTTCTATCGATTTTAAATCTCAAAAATCAAAGTGAGGAGTTATGTCAATCTCAATTACTCTTTTGACTAAAAAACGCATCAATAATGTTCAAATATCATTGTTCCCAAAATATAGTGACATTATCGATGAATTTTACATCATATCGACCGTTGTTCAATAGGTCACACGCGTCATCACAAAGTATTTCTTATACGTATATGTATGCATATAAACACCTTAGTTACTTAGTTAATTAGAATCCTAACATCAATGTTGTTGTTTTTACAAAAAGATTCAAAGCGAAAGACATCCCAAGCACCGTGTCCAAAGGGGCACCAGATTTTTGCACTCTGTATGTCATTGGCAAAGGAAAGATCACGCATTGCCGACCAGCTACTGCTGAACTACCCTCAAATGATTCGAGAAACTCGCAACACATGAGGCTCCACCAGCACTCCAGAGGTTTGTTTCTGTAATTCTAACATCAATGTATGCATGTTTGTTCCTCACCACATAAGTATTTTGGTTACTTCCGGTCATTAGTTACCCAATTTTCTTTGATTGGTGCAGAACCGGAGAGCCCGCTGAAGAACAAGTTCAGGTAAGCTTCGAGTTCAAACTCTCAATTTTAATCTTGCTTTGTCCAAGTAGTCTCTGCATTCAATCAAATGTGTTAAAACTTAAAACGGTGAGAATTAACCTCTGATAAAAATGATACAGGCCAGCATTATCAAGAGCAACACCTATAGTGAACAAATCATATGAGCCCTTGCCAGGCATTGATTTACCGCCGGTGAGCAGCAAAGTGCAAACCATGGATCGCTTCTTAAATTATGATAGCACGCCGTCGAAAATGACCCATCAAAGTTCAATCGGCTCAGAGTTGGACAGCAGAAGCTCTTTGTCATCTTACTCCGGAACCAAGTTCATTGACATGACATCTGCGCCGAATGGTTTTTCATCATCCTCGTTTGAAAGTGGAAGGTCATGGTCATCACGAAACAGGGTAAGACATTTTTCCCAGCATAGTAAACTTGAAAACACCACCAACTACAAGCTTTGGAGCATGCTTCCAACTATTTGCGAATGTTGTTAGTGACACGGTGCATAAAGAAACGCTTTTAGTACAATAACACAGGATTCATCCAGAAAAGTTTAAAAATATTGATATACTAGTGTGCCTCGAAAATAATAGGATGACATGGAAGCTGAGATGAGGAGGCTCAGGCTAGAGCTCAAGCAAACAATGGAGATGTACAGCATGGCTTGCAAGGAGGCAATCTCAGCAAAACATAGGGTATGGATGCGACCTGTTATTTGACTATATACTTTGTTTAAGATAGGCACATTCAAGCGTAAAATCTGATGACGTATCTTCACAGGAAAAGGAACTTCACCAGTGGAAATTGAACGGAGAGCACAGATTAGAAGAAGCACGACTCGCTGAGGGAGCTGCATTTGCACTTGCACAGAAGGAGAAAGCGAAAAGTAAGGCAGCAATTGAGGCAGCACAAGCGGCTGAAAGGGTTGCAGAACTGGAAGCAGAAAGACGGAAAAACTTAGAAATGAAAGCTCTTGAAAAAGCTAAAGGAAAGAAGTCGCTAGCATCAAATGGGTACGATCTCAGGTACAGGAGATACACAATTGAAGATATTGAAGCGGCGACGGAGTATTTTTCACAAGCCTATAAGATTGGAGAAGGAGGATACGGTCCAGTCTACAGAGGTGAACTAGATCACACACCGGTAGCAATAAAAGTTCTGCGTCCGGATGCAGCCCAAGGGCGGTCGCAATTCCAGCAAGAGGTTGAAGTATTGAGCTGCATTAGGCATCCAAACATGGTTCTCCTACTTGGAGCCTGCCCAGAATTTGGTTGTCTGGTCTATGAGTACATGGCCAATGGTAGCTTAGAAGACCGTCTCTTCCGGAAAGGCAACACCCCGGTGATTCCTTGGCAGCTAAGGTTCAGAATTGCTGCAGAAATTGCCACCGGACTTTTGTTTCTTCATCAGACCAAGCCAGAACCCGTTGTACACCGTGACCTAAAACCCGGCAACATCTTGCTAGACCATAACTATGTGAG